GTCAAACTGTGTTGTCTTTGGCGTTTTTCATAGATTTAACTAAAAAAATGGGATTAATTGTGTTTTTTGCTAACAAAGTGCTTTAAGGATTACTTTTTTGGTTGCTAAATCGATTAAAAGATTATGAAAAATCCAAAAATGCTTTTTGAACTAATGAGACAGATTAAAGGAACTCAGGAAACCAACATAAAAAGTTAGTTTTGAACTTCATCAAACGGTGCAGTTTGACAGTGTAATCCAGCAGTTTTGCAGATTTACTGATATGCCACTCCGCAGTGCAGCTATATGCAGGAACAGAAGCAGTCATCTGAATCCAGTAAAAAACTAGTGTGAGTCTGACTCTAGTCTGTGTAGGTACACAAATAATACAAAAAAAATGGCGGACAAGTGTGACAGGCACTGCAGCTGACACTTTGAGCATATTCTAAGTTTTTAACAAACAGAGATGACTGAATCAGTTTTCAAGTGACGTGTTGAGAAAACCCACGCCACCTGATCCGTGCCATCCTTCACGTGGACCTGTGAGTGTGCGCGGCGGACCTGTGAGTGTGCGCGGCGGACCTGTGAGTGTGCGCGGCGGACCTGTGAGTGTGTGTGGCGGACCTGTGAGTGTGTGCGGCGGACCTGTGAGTGTGTGCGGCGGACCTGTGAGTGTGCGCGGCGGACCTGTGAGTGTGTGCGGCGGACCTGTGAGTGTGTGCGGCGGACCTGTGAGTGTGCGCGGCGGACCTGTGAGTGTGTGCGGCGGACCTGTGAGTGTGTGCGGCGGACCTGTGAGTGTGCGCGGCGGACCTGTGAGTGTGCGCGGCGGACCTGTGAGTGTGTGCGGCGGACCTGTGAGTGTGCGCGGCGGACCTGTGAGTGTGCGCGGCGGACCTGTGAGTGTGTGCGGCAGGTGTGAAAAGGAGCCGGCGGCGTGTCGTATAACCTTTTGACAAGTTGCTCAACAACAACAGGCGCTCCCTGTTATTATTGGGTCAACAGAGTCGGGAGGAGGTCTTTGGGATCGCGGCAGAGTTGAGAACATGAGAGTGAGAGAGGGGGGCCCACCACCAACACCACCACCAGCTCCCCCACCCACCCCCTGCCCTTCCTTCTTTGTCTTAACGGCAGTGTTGAGGTTGACCCGCCCTGTGCTCCCAGGCTGGCCCGGGGTCAGGGGGGGGGGAACAGGCAGCCAGTCAGGCAGCCCGGCATTCTTTCTGGATGTGTGTGTGGGTTTGGCCRCAGCCCACTCCGTGCTCTTTGACTCCGCTGGCCTTATAAGGCATCCAGCGCCATGGCAACAGCGGGGCTTGAATAGCAGTGTCAAATCCCTCAGCACACAGACACACGCTCACTCTCCCTGAAGGAGGGAGCCGAGCTGAGAAACAGGAGGCTATCTGAGCTGTGGCGGCGTCTGGCTTTCACTAAAACCTCYGACTGGCTTTTTCCTCTGCTGGTTTGCCTAATTTATTCCTGCCGGGGCCAGCAGAAAGACAGGAGGAACAGGAAGAGGGGGGAAAAAAACAAAAACAAGCTGAATAATAAAGAGCGCAACACTCTGACTCTCTGGTTCTGGCCTCTGGTTGGGACTGCGGGATGGACACGCTCTGACAAAAAGCAGGAATGGGACGGAGGACTTTGTGAGGCTCTGGGAGAGGAGAGGCGACCGTGGCCGAGCAGATTTCTCAACTCTGCCTTTTGTTTTGGCTTGTTGTTGTTTCTATGACATCTGATCCGCTGACTCCGCCGGCTTTGAGGGAGTTAGAGGGACCAGAGGAAAACAGCGTTTCGTCACAGAAGGGCAGAGCGGGAGRACGTCTTTGGATGAACTTTGCTGCCGCAGAAGAGCTGGAAAATAAAAATAAAACGTGTTTCTGAGCCTCAGCGTTTCTTCAACAGGAGGAGCGAATAAGAAATCGACGAAAACAACCTTAACCGGCTGAAAGCCTTGACGAGTGGAGAGAAAAGCCTGGACTAGAACCGCCTCAGATCAGAAGATAGCGCCTCAGCACGGCAGAAAACTGGTTGGACTAGTTTATAAGTTGGAGGAAAGGGCAGGGCAGTTTAACCCTGCCTAAAGGAGAGCTGGGCTTTATTTTCCTCTCGTCTGCCTGTCCTTTAGAGAGAAAAAAAAACTGGTGGGAGGAAGAAGAGGGTCTTTTTTTAAAGCTGTCTCTCTTCATCATGTTGGGGGATAGGTGAGGCATTTCTCTTCTCCTTTCATAGAGGAAAGGAAGAGAAGTGAGAGAAGAAGAAGAAGAAAAAAAGAGTGAAAGTGTAATTTATTGTTTCCTGTGAAAAGAGCAGAGCTGCACCCTTTTCTCTCCTGCCTGAACTCTGAACCACTTAATGCGTGTGAAGTTTTCTCAGAGCTGAAGAGCCATTGATCAGAGGTCAGGAGTGTGTGGGGGGGAGAAGGAGAGCAGAGAGGGCAGCAGATTAAAGAAGAGAAGAGAAAACAGCAGTGGAAAGACCTCCAGGTCAACCCAGCCAGACGGAGAAGTAAGGTGGAGGCGGGCGGGGGGGAGAAGGTCAACTCAGGCGAGTCGGGGACAAATCTCTCCATCTTACTTTTAAATTCACGAGATAAAACCTGCTTCGGAAGTGCAGATCTTTGAGCCTGGACTCAGAACTTTCGGGGTGAGCGTAGGGTGTGTGTGTGTGTGTGTGTGTGTGTGTGTGTATGATCCAATTACAGGACTGGGGGGTCTGAGGAAAATATGGCCATGGTGAGCGGGGGATGGGGCAACCCCAACGGGGACACTAACGGACTGGGGGAGAAGGTTTACCTGAGGAAGGAGGAGGAGGACGGGTCGCCCCGGGCGGGCAGCAGCGACGTGGACGTCGGGGACGAGGACAAGGCCTGCGTGGTGGACTGCGTGGTGTGCGGGGACAAGTCCAGCGGGAAGCACTACGGCGTGTTCACCTGCGAGGGCTGCAAGAGCTTCTTCAAGAGGAGCATCCGGAGGAACCTCAGCTACTCCTGCAGGTACATTTGAGCATCACACAYGAAGGACTTGGTCAGTGTTTGGTTGTATTCAGTGGCTCGTTTTGTACATTTTTATCATGAGAGTTTCTAGACGTTAAATAAGATAATTATCACCTGCTGCTGAATGCAAAAACAAGGTGATATTTGTGTGTGTTTACCTGTATTGTTAGCAAAATATCTCAGGAACCAGTGCACCCCGTGCACTGGTTCCTGAGATATTTTGCTAACAATACAGGTAAACACACACAAATATCACCTT